ATAAAGTCCACAGAGCTACTGGTTGTTGGACTGAGACCAAAAAATGGTTCCACGCAATTTCTTGCATTTAAGGTTAGATCCTAACCCACTGCCAAACTCCATGGTCCGTTTCTCTAAAATCACTAAACCAAAGCTGGAAGACTCAACCAGACGCATGACTCTCTCTTTATTATCAGATGTTTATCTTGGTGGATACTAATGAAACAAGGAATGGACGAGTTTGAGTATTTTCTCATGAGGGAGGCTGACGTTCCCGCCGTGAGAATCGTAAATCTGACAAACCATGCAAAGTACAAAATGCCTGCAGACAAGGTGACTGCGGAGAACCTAAAAGAATTTTGCCAGAGCTACCCTAAATGGAAAAGCAAAAGGTATGTCCATTACCAATGAGACGCCCCTCTACTACACCAGCTAAACCTAACAAATTTGCAAAACATCCCTTTTTTTATTAGAACAGTGTGCTGTTCCGATCACCCGTTTACTAATTTACTCTCACTCTGATGCATTCATCTACAGTTGTTGACAGAGCATTCCTCTGTATTTAACAACTGAGGTAGACTGTTACAAAGTTCTCCAGTCATCCTATGTAGAAACTGGGTAAATCATTTATGGCCCAATATTTTAGTCGATTTCAGCTGATGTATTTTAGTGGTTTAAAAACTCCTTAGGTCTCAATCTTTCCAATACTATAATGGAGATATTTCACTCCCTTAGTTGGAAGAGATGCAAACAATTATTGCAACAGATTTTGAGGTTACAGAGAAGTCTAGTAAATAGAAAATCAACAGTTTCAGAGTGGAGTAAGATTTCGTATTTGTTGTAAGAGAGTTTAGCAGAGTGACTTTTCACAGGGGGGATCATTCCCAGTGGTAAATACAGTATTTGTTGTCATAATGAGGCACCATCCTCCACACTCACGTGAAAAATACTTTAAAATGTTTTGCTTATTCCGTGCTCTGCAGGGTGATTTTTTTTTTTTGTTTCCATCACGAGGAGAAAAGATGAAGTAGTCAGTCTGACAGCATGCAGAATTTAAGAGATTTGAGTAGTAGATCTTGATTTCAATCAATGTTGGAGGGGGGGGCAGAAGGACAGAAGAGGTGGGGATGTCTCCTTTTCTCCACTAATATCTGCTTGAGTGGCACACTCCCACCAGCGAAGAGCTTCCATGGGGAATGTGTGCCTCTCTACTACTGCACTGTGGTGTAAAAGAAAAGAAATTGCCAGCTAATACTGTAAATTGTAGAAGTCATGTGGGGACTGTGATCGGTGGTGAAGGCAGAGATTTAAGCAGCAATGCACACTTACTTGTGCGTTTTACATCACTGTTGAGAGCCCACAACAGGCAAGCTTTTCAGTAGTCTAGCCTCTGAACATTGGGCAACAAGAATTCAGGACAATGAATGCAAATGTGTTCCAAAGGGTCATTTTCAGACAATCTACTATGGAGTCTGTGTTGAAGAGAGGGACAAGTAATTCCGACTACCAACTATGCAGGGGTGCGAGAGCCCAGCTCCCTGCTGAAGGGAGAGAAGGTGGTAGCACGTGAAGGCTGGCTAGGATGTAGAGATATAAAAAAATAACATACAGTAACAGTGCACATTGGCTAGAGAAACATCCCATCGGTCTGACACTAACTTGAGCTGGAGTACAGTTTCTCAATGCTCCCTGCACTTTCACAGCAGTGTTTCTGTTTCTGCCTAGCTATATCTATCTAGTGAAGAAATTCCAGAGGACAGGAACAAGATGCCTGTCAACGTGCTTGTTGGGAAGAATTTCAACAGGTTTGTCTTCAATAAGACCATGACTGTGTTTGTCATGTTTTGTAAGTGTTATTGTTGTATTCAGATTTTAAGTTGCTTTAACATGATCAATTGGAAGTGAAAAACAAAAGCTTATGCTTACATACCAAACTGGTCTTTGCACTTTACAGAAGCTGAGCTTAGTGAATTTTTGTTGTCCGATGAAAGCATTGAAGAAAAATTTGTGTCATATCTATGGAAACACTGTGATACCTTTGCTGACTTAGAGTCGCACTGAGTAACACTGGATCCCTTAAGTTAATATTTGTAAAGGCCGTATCAAATCTGTGTTGAAAGACAAAATGACACTAGAACATCATGTTGTACAATGGAACATTACAGCGTGCTGTACAGTATGAGTCAGGCTGTCTTCCAAGGACAGAGGGAGAGTTAAGTGAGGTTGTCTGGTTATAATGCTCCAGGATTAAATCCCAGAGAGGAGTTGTGGTTAGCAAATCGTAACTCCTTTTATCCTCCTCTGTCTGCAAGGGAAGTGGCTTTCCTGCTTGACTCTTCCCAGCAAGAAACCACTGCCCTATCCCTGCACCAGCCAGCAGGGATTAGTTTGTGCCTTAGTTACATCAGTAGAGCAAACATGCAGCATTAACTGCATTAATTTCTGCATTCCAGAAATTCTTAAAGGTACATTCCTGCAATCCTCCTTGTTGGCTGCAGCCATTTCATTCACGCAAGTCATTTTTACATTTCAGTATCATGAACAAACTGATCTAAGCAGGAATTGAACCAAGTCCTTTAGAAATGAAAGGCTGGTAAATGGGATATAGTGTATTCAGGAAAGTGCCCTAGAAATTTCAATTCCATCTAAACTGACTATGAGCATTTTTCTCATGACTGAAGGATTGCAACCATATTGTATACTCTTTAAGAGGATACTGGGTTCTCAGCAGTTTGCCTTTTTGTTAACCTGCATGAGTGCAGTGCTCAGAGTCAAAACACCACCATACCTCAAACTCCTCCTTTTAGTGTAAGCATAGCATAGTTTATGAACACAGTTAATTTTAGTATGCAGAAAGCATTTTGTGCTTCTGGCAAGTATTTCACCATGGGAATGATGCAAGACTTACTTGGGTTGCATTGGTTATCTGGCACACCTCTCCAGCAAAGTCACATGAGAAGTGGTGTGTGTTTGTTATAGTCGTAAAAGGCTAAACAGAGCTAAAGCAGCACTGCTATCAGAAATGCATTAGTGAGTAGCTAGTTATCACTACATGAAAACTCATGAAATTCACGAAGGATGAATGGTTTCAAGTAGAGACTGACTACAACTGAAACCCTATTAACTTTAAGGGCTAAATGGGTCCCAGTGATTGCACCAGCACATGCTCTTCTGCCAGACTGTATCCTTCTACTTTTATTTTTAAATTTGCAGATGCCCCTTGGTCCTATGACTGCAGAAAACTCCTGCCAATCTGGGATAAGCTAGGAGAGCAATACGAAGGTTGCAAAGACATAATCATTGCGAAGACAGATGTCACAGCAAACGACATCCTGTCCGTTGGATTAGATTGCTATCCGTTCTTCACACTCTTTCCTGCTGGACCAGATTACCAGGTGAGAAACTGTCGGGGAAGAATGTGGAGACACAGCTGCACACCAAGCAGGGATGTGTGTGTGTGTTTGCACACATGCATGTGTCACGGTGAGAAGGAGCCCTTTAAGCAAGAAAGCTTTGGTCCTTATCTACTCAACATTGCATTCATTGCTGTCAAGAACCTGAATTAGAAGACGATAGAAGGGTTTCTCCTCTCCGATGTGTGAGGCTGTGGCAAGAGCGCATTTACTGTCTTGGACCTACAAGTCATTACAGCCTTACATTCTGCTGTTTAACAACCTCCAATCTGCCTGTTGGGTTCTAGCAACAGTCTCAACTCAGAGTGAACTTACAGATACCTCCACATCATTGCAGTGCCTCTTTACTTCAAACCATGACAAGAGATGTACTGTCACAGAACTACCCTGTGCTAGTTGTTTCTGGAGCAGGTATGACCACAGCCTCTAAAATGCTGGTACTACTTGTGTTATATCCTCTACATTTTCACAAAACCCAAATTCCAGAACTTTCTTCTATATACTTATGCCAGTAATTTTACCTCATTCCAGTATCACAGCCTCAATTGGGAATAAATATTTGTTGTCAAAACCAATGATCTTTACAATATGCTCCCTAATGCTTCAGCTATGTTACACAATAATCAGAAAATGCTGCTGAAAGAGGAGGCAAAGAAAAATATTAAATAGTTACATTCCTCCATCTACATAGATAATCTAATTAAAAAAAAAAAATCTCTGAAGCAAAAAAAAATTAAATTCTAAGATACTGTTATAATTAAGACATTACTAAGCTTTTCATTTTTCTTCTTAGTCCTAAACTTAAATTAAATTCTAAGGCATTTGCCCATGTCCTCATTTAATCTTTGAGGGAGAGATTTTCCTCTTGGATGTGCATGCACAGCTTCTAATGAATTGAACTGCAGTCCTGCACACTCACACCGTGTTTAGTCTTTATGCAGGAAAGCAGAAACCCATTAAATGCTCATAACAAATGTCAGTTTGTCAAAAAATATCAGTAACAACTTTCATTAACTATTAAGGGATTGTTTCATACTTACAAATACCCTGAAATTAAAGAGTATTTGAAATCTCAAGTTCTTCCTTGTGCACCATGGTTTTATATTAGTTCCCTCACCTTCAGAGATTTTAACTTGTACTTGACTACAGTGCAGGTGTCCTGTAGACATCTGCAGTCTTGCAGACCCAAGTGTTCTGGCTTTCTTTCTTATAGCACTATACGAACAGCTGGCCACAGACATCTTTACTCACTACAGACAATCATAAATGATCCGAGAGACACTCAAGCCATTAACAGCAACAGCTCTCAGTCATTTCCTACCCAACCAGCAGTTATACCAGGAATTCTCCCATGTATATTTGTCCTTTTCTAGAAGTTAACCAAAGTCAGAGCACAGGATACAAATGTAATAACACAATGTGCCAAGGCTCAGAGTATCTGCTGTGTTTTTCACTGTACAGGCACTGCCCCAAAATTATGATCCCTACTACCTTATTCTGGCCATGAAAAGAGCGATAGAAGGGGCTTGGAGCCAAAGAGAAACTGGTATGTTCAGAATGAAGAAAAAGAGGAACAGGAAATACATACAGTCCAACAACACCTGATGCAACCTTGATTTCACACAGACATCTTTTCTAGCCTTCAGTATTTTGCCAGTGTTAGAAACAAACACATGAGCTTTCCAATTACCTCTACCGATCCTTCGCATTGTTTAAGGACTAAGGGTGAATTGAACACTAGTGCAGAAGCAGAAGGAACTCTAAAGATGAAATAACTATCATAAGACTCTAGAAAGCACATCAAAATGCACGTAAAGGAGACTCTAGAAAGTCTCGAATGCATATAAATGCATATATATGCATCGAAATGCATATAAAGAAGTCTGAACCTGCTCCTGATAAACCAAGGGAAATGTGGCTAACATAACACGACCCAAAGCTGTTTTCTAGAACTGGGTTATGTTCTCTGGCCATCACAGACACTCTTACAGCTCCTTAAAGGCAAAGCCATGGGCAGAACACATTACTATGCAGTCCCTTCCAAGCACTTTCACCTGATGAGATCATATTAGATACTACCCACCTCTGAACAGAAGTACCTGCTAGGTCTCAAGGCTATGAACTGCCTTCTTTACAGTGGACTGTCACTCTTTAGCCTGTTTAAGAACAGGTTCAGCTTTTCCTGAAGTTAACGACAAGTCACCCTCTTACTTTCATTGGATGCAAAACTAGATGCATGACAACATTTTTAAATCAGGAGCCACTTCAAGTTAACTGGAGTTAAGCGGAGTTGGATAAGCTAAGAGACCTAGATCTATAGGTGGGTGTTTAAGCATGTGCCCAGTTTTCCAAAGCACCGAGTGTTTCTATGCTGGGGAACAGTCAGAGCCAGAGCTGAAGGAACGAGAGAGTGAATCTGATGAATTACATGGAGGACGGAGTGACCAGGCATCATCTGAGCTCCATCTGTGAAGCTGATGAACAACTCATCCGCTGCGTCATCCACTCCAAATTTAAAAGCAAAACATGCAGTCTTTCAGGTGGACTTAAGATGATTCTATTTGTTTCTATGGATTATGTGAGAAAAATAACATTTACATACTCTTACACCCTGATTACTCTAATAAGAAGTGTTGAAACATATCCTCAGTAACCAGTTCAGGGATCAGCTGCTTCTCTGGCTTTATAGGTCTTCAGGCTCTGAGAAATTGCTGTTCCAGCCATCATCAGAGTCAATAAAAATCAAGACTCATCTGAGAATATTAGTTACCTCTGGAGGAATCAAATAATCTTTCTCAAGAAACTTAAGCTTGCAAACATAAAAAAATAACTTCAAGGCTGCCACATTTTTTATTACATGAGAATACCTTACTGAACGGAAATATCAAACCTGTGTATACTTTTAGTGAACTCACCAGAGAATGGAGGTGTTCTGTTTACAGTCCTTTGAACTCAAATCAGGCATAAGAGTAACTAGTGTAAAGTAACACAGCATTATTGGTCTCAGTGGGAGTAAGTGAGCTTAACCCAAGTGAGAATAGGCATCTGCCTATTTCTAAATACATTCAGGTAACAGCAGACAACTCCCAATGTCATGCAAACGAGCTTCTACAACTTTTTGTTAAAAGACTTGTGCAAGATCCTTTTATACTTCCAGAGAGCAAAGGTATCGGGGGGAGGATCTTTAATATACAGTATGGTGCCTAGACCTACTCAGAATTTAAAGCTCTAAACTGAAAATGCTTCTTCCATTAAACTTCCTCAGAAGAAAATCCTCAGTAAACCCCAGCTTAAGGTGAAGTATAAGAAAATTAATGCCACTGCTCATCTTCCTCATGTTCTTTCAAGCTGTGCAACAGCTGGTACTTCTGGACTGTGTATTTCAAAACTTTTTCAGAATTTGAATTTCCATCAAAATCTTTAGACAGCTTTGAATATCATGGCTGGACACTTAAAAGACTCTGCTCTTCGAAGTATCTTGCAAGTGTTTATTGTTAAACACAGAAAAGACACTGATGTCACTAGTTGGCAGGATCCCAGACTGGTATTATACAATAATGGTTATGGGGTTTTTTTGTTTTGTTTTGTGTGTATGGTTTCGTTTGTTTTTTTTTTTTTTAAACACAAATCCTTTTCTTCTTAGGGATATACATCCGTTTCTGTATTACACTTGAGTTTCAGGTGACATTAGAACCTGCTGTGCCTCTGCCCTCACTTTCTAAACTGCACACAAAAGACTAGAGTTTGGTCAGTGTAAAGAACTGAAATCCTCCAGCTGATTATGCTGTTTTTTCCAGCATTTTGTGTACAGAATTAAATACTTAACCGTAAACTCTTTTCAGGAGGTGGCCTATGCCAGGGAGCATACCTTGGAGGCATTCTCTGAATTCTTAGAAGAACAAAGCAAGACAAAAGCAGAACCAGGAGAGAAGGTAGGCATTTGATCCATTGATCCAGACACTGACTGATCTGCTGTGTAATCATCCAAGGCATGTTCACAGCTTGTATAGCATACCTGAACTGGTTATAGCATAGCCACACGTATGGGCTTCAGCCACTGCTCCTGTCAATACTTGGGTGGTTCTTATCAGCTCTTAGCTCGTTTCAAGCTGACAAGACTTGGCGTGACCACACTAGCTGTGGTCATATACCACTGCCTGGCAGGCACATGCCCACTCACATCCTTGTTTTCATCACACAAAAAACTCTTCTCCTACTGCTCACGTTATCACCAAGTCACTACATTAACACTCTGGTAGTGAGTACCGCATGGCAGAAAGGAACCTGCACCTTGACAGGTGTAAGCAAAACTTTGTCAGGATTTTAGCTGGAAAAAAGAAGCCCCAGCTAAGTTAGTTTCAGCTATAGCTGGAGTGGTTCAAATATCCATTGCCCACCTCATCCCTGCCACATTCAGTGTGGCTTCTCTTCTTCATAAAGCAAGAGCACAACTGAGATCAGACATCGTCCCCTCTCTTGGCCATCTGGTCTGATTATTGTCTGATTCCTCAACCCTTTTTCCTCCACTGTAAATCAGACCAGATAAGCACTAGCTGTCCCAGATTAGCCTGTTACTTAATCCCAGACACTTCACTGCAAAAAGACATACTGTAAGTGAACAATGTGATCAAGCTCCACGCAGACAGCTCTAAGCAAAAGAAAAAAATGAGAGAGATGGAGACACTGTCCACCCAGTATAAGAATCATAGGCCCATTCTACCTGGAAGTGAAGTAGATCCACAGGGTAGCAAGAGTTGTCATTAATGCTCTTTTCAACTAGTAGGGAAACTGTTTTCAGACTTACTTCCACCAGAGGTTTTGATTTGCTCCTGAATTCACTCACTGCTCAAATAGGTGGTTACAGATGGAGAGAGATGACTGAACTAATATTGGGACACAGAAGTCTGCAATGAAGGATCAGACACCCAGCTCTGCCCAGGCATTGTACAATTCTGTTTTCCAATACCAAAGCCTACGTTTGGTGTATGCCTCTGTCGCATGTTCTTTAGTGATGTGTTTGAAGCAGATCTGTTGAGTCCTACACGCAGTCTTTTACATACAATGATAGAGCTGTGTATATTCTGTCATCTCTTCTTCATGCTTTATTTCACATTAAAGAACAAGTAAAAAAGCCAGTTTAGGAAACACACCATTCAAAAAACATGCTCTGTGTAGCAAAAGGGGTAAGTAATTGGCATTTGCTCATCTGTTCACATTCTCCATCCTTACCTGACACCCACCAAATTTTCCCAGAAGACTGTACATAGACCATTTGCAGTACAGTGCTTGATGTGAAGTCCCCTGTTGGAGTAACTCTTCATCCTCACCTCAGGGCATTCACAAACACACAAACAAGATAAATAAGAAGATAGTTTCTTTTCAGATTGCCTAGGAAAGACTGTCTTCTGTCATCTTACCAAACACAGTTTTCCAAGTTCTTGTTAAACCTTCACACAAAGCCTCATCTAAGCTTTGCCATAAACCAGTGTAAAGGTTTGAAAACAAAACACATTTCAGCAACAGCTGCACTACTTCTGACCTCATTAACAAGCCCTCAAGTTCCTTGGTTGAAAAGACGAAAATCTGCATTTCATATAATCTTAAAAAAAATTTTTGAAGTAAAGAATTACTAGAGCGATTCTCTTTGTGAACATCAGTAATAATCAGCTTTGCTCTTGCATTTCCTTTTTTAAAAAGGATCCTTCAGGAGGAATCAAGGAGGATCTCAGCCAAAAAGAGACTGTAATAACAGAGAAAGAAGAACTGTAATAGTACAGAGAAAGAGCAAAATTCTGAGGATTGTGGGGAATCCTTCCTGGAAGGAACTCACTAGAAGAATGAATCATCTCAAGTGAACACAGAGCTGGATCAAAAAATAGAAGAAAAGAATTCGGCATCCACGGTTCATTATGTGTGACACCTCTTCTGAATCCAGTTTAACTCCTAGTTTTACTGGGATCAGTTGTCATGGGTTCTTAAAATATTGTCAATTTTGCTTAAATAATGCCTTTATTATCAGTAAAACTGCTCTCATTTAGAAAGGTATATGTGCCATGGCAAATGGATCAAGATATAAAACTATTCTTTCTGAACAAAATCTGCAACAGGTTTGCAACCAGTTGCTCTCCAGTTTACCCTAAGACAGCCCTATTGTTTTCAAGGGAGATTAACTGCTCCCAGAAGGATGGGAAAAACATTGCAAAGAGCATTTCTATAGTGATCTTCAAAAGAAGTAATTGAAGCTAGGGGCTATGCCCAAAGGGCCACCAAGGGGCAGTTCGTGATTTTTTTTATTATCAAGCAGTACAAAACACAGAAATCAAGATCTAATTTAATTCCAGTAAGAAAAATATCATACCTAATACACAGAATCACAGGTATGATTGCATTTTAGTTACGTTAGGTCCCCTAACCACCCCACACAGGTTATAAAAGCGCAGCTGGTGAAACTGCGGGACAATAGTAATTTCCTCCTGCAAGGGCCAGATAAAGCAGAAATAATTCTGAAAATTTGAAACCTTTTCTTACAGAATTAGAGAAGGAAGATAATTTATTAATATTTCATTTCAAAAGCAGATTTCTGAAGTCTTTGATCCCAACTTGTTAATAAGTTACTTTCCTATGTAAGCAGCGGAAAAAAGGTGAAAACTTACAAAATGAAGGAACACCCATTTGAATGGAAGGAGGATTAATCACTGCAGTGAAGAATACAGCACTGAAAGAACAGTAGAGATCTCCTAGCTCTCACCTGTCACGCAAGTCAACAAGAGATGGACAATTTTAAAGTATTTGACCTCTTACATTTTACAATTATTTGCTAAAAAGTGCAGTTCATGACAGATGGCTTGTTTGCTATTCAGGCTGCAATGTGTAATTAAGTACCTGCACTTAGAGATTTAAGATGAAATATTAACTTCTCTACTTCACAGTTCTTGCAAATAAATAGCACTCAACATGCAACACACTAATCTCACAAGGCCATCAGTTGGCCTTCACTGATGAGGAGTAAACAAGAAGACACAGAAAGTAAAACAGTTTATGTTGGTACTTCATGGGCACAGTTTAATCTCTGCTGGGGCTAAGGTTCATTGGGACTGCAATTAAATTCTCTTAATGGAAGAGGATTCTTCTGGAAGCTTGTTCAGTGCCAGATCACCATTCCCAATACGGTCCTGTTGCAGAGGCTCATGAAATCAAATGAGGCAGGTGACAGATTCAAAAATAAATTTTATTTAAACCAAAATTGTCTAGCAGAAAACTAACTAGAAATGAGGTGTCAACACCCCAACAACATCAGTAAACCAGATCACCTCCCAATACGGTCCTGTTGCAGAGGCTCATGAAATCAAATGAGGCAGGTGACAGATTCAAAATTTTATTTAAACCAAAATTGTCTAGCAGAAAACTAACTAGAAATGAGGTGTCAACACAACACCAACATCAGTAAACCACAGGTTCAGGATGGTGTATGAGGAATTAATACTGCACAGCCAACTTCAGAAATGAGCTGGTCAGTTCTAATCGGCTGAGGGCCTTAACTTTCTTACTCCTCGCCCGAGGTGTATACATGACCATAATTACTGGCCCAAAGCATGTATGTGATGGTCAGCACTCACCACCTTAAAGGTGCGAAAAGTATGGACGCAGCAGTCTTAATGCCCCCAGTCTTTATCAGGGCGGGTGCACCTGCCACAGGTCCGCCTGGGTTTTGTAGGTCTTGGACCTAGTTTCTCGAGAGGTTTCCTTAGGCTATCTGAAATTGGTGAAGACCACTGATCAGACGGGCTCCACACATTCAGGTTTCTGCCAGCTGCAGCTCCCTCCTCTGTCCTAGCAACATCACCTACAAAAGGAAAAGCAGCTTAAAGCTACATAAGGAAACTGTAGCTTAAAAGTCAGGATGGTAGATCTGAGAGATGCAGCCCACTCCTTCACTTGTAACTGTGAACCACAGCTGAGCTATTATTATTTAAAGCAAAATTCTTCTTTGAAGATGCCAAGTAAAGTTTAATTCTCATGTTTTTAGGACAAAGCAAATTTTTGATAGAACTGCAATACAGTGCAAATCAAAGTCTCACTTAGCAGCAAGAGGAAAACATGGGATCCCAGATACCAGGGTGCTGGTTTTAAAGAGATCAACCTAAGTTTGCAGTGGGTGGAAACTCCCACTCCAGCCAGACAGCGTGGGATACAGTTAACAGTAAGTGTTTCTCAGCACCCTTGTTAAGAGGACTTTATTTACAAATATCACACAGAAACAATGACTTGTCAATTCAACCACTGAAGTATGCCAAAACTGTTTCTCTTATACACAACAAAAGAAGTCAATTCTCCTTTGGACATCAAACACGAGTTCTTTGGGACACTGCCAGAAGGGCCTTGCACAAAGTAAACCTGATCACTGCTAGATATTGGGTTTAATTTAACTTTCATTTAACATTGGGCATTCATTAACAAACAGAAACCCTCATTTGATATCCTGGGAGATCAGATTAGAAAGTGAATGAAATGAACTGAATCCCAAAGAGAGGGAAGTGTCAGCATGCTTTCCCTTTGCTGCTTGCAACATGATGAAATTTGAATGGCAAGCAGTGCCACCAATGTATTTTGAACAACTATTAAACACAGAAGCTATAATCTTTTAATTAGTTTCCTCACAGAAAAATGGAGCAAGCAATGTTCAGCACCACTCTGTATCTGGCAGATGGGTTTACCATTCAAGATAATGAAAAAAAATTAATTTTCACTGCGCCTACCCACTGTATACGAGGCTTAATCCTGAAACTGCTATCTATCCTATTATAAGGTGCAAGATTACATATTAATGAAAACATGTGCCATCTCGGCAAATGATGTTCTCATTTCTATTCCAGCCACTCTCAGATGTTGTGTCAAGACAAGGGGCCAGTGCAGACTCACATGCCATGCCCTGATGCACGACCAGAGTTGCAAATCTACTTTAAAAAGCATCTGGTAAAAGACTGCCTGAAAGGCAAGTCTTCCTGTAGGCGAAATTCTGCCTCATTACTGGCTGGGTTGGGTTCCTCCAACCCTCGACCATGGCAGGACATGCACTCCGTGCCAGGCAAGTGGCCTTGCACATTGCCTCATTCTCCCTCTGACCCAAGTTAATTCCAGAATATTTTGCTAGAACAAAAATTTAAGTGTTTTAACCAGATTCAGAAAACCCACCAGCAACTCGCTTCCCCTATACTGCCAACTTCTGTCAGTTTAAAAAACAAAACTCGTAACGCTCTGTAGTGACTCCTCAACTCTCACAAGCAGAATTGAGGCCTAAATGTCTGAAATGGAATCACTTCCTCAAGCTTTGCTAAGTCAAACGCTACTTCTTTTATTTTAGTCTAAACATGAAGTGAATCTGTTTAATTTTAAAGAGTATATCATTATAACTGTGCTCAGACATTCTAAAAATTACTTAAATCCATGCAAAAAACCTCCCACCAATGTTTATTAGTCAAATTTGTTCCTGTAAATGAATACCAATATTTTGAATGCACCAATATCACTGGGTTTTAATCATATGAAAAATCTCCCCGTGCACATAAATAAGCCCTATCAATAAGACTGACAGGACTAAGTAAAGAATTATCAATGTGCACCAACTGCGGAGCTGGTTTAATCTGCAGTGTCAAGATGGTCTGGTTATCAATATGGAGCAGTGGAAGCAACACTCCCAGCTAGGAATCTTATTTATAAAAGAACTCACAAACAAAATGTGAAGCATAGCAAAGTTTAATACAAAAAAGGGGGTAAACCTGAACCATCCCCAAGAAATGCTAACTTGTTTTTTTTCTAAATGGCAGCCTATTCTGCCTTGAAATAAAAGCTTTGAGCAACCTTGCAGATAGCAATTCATCTCATTAAGTTCTTTTCTTAAATTCTGGGGAAGAAAAACATGGTTCAGAACTGACAATCATTCATAAACACTCAGATGCACAGGAAAAATAATCAATCCTAAAGAGAAATGCAGTAATTCTTTTCGGCTTTATAACAGCTTCATCCTAGCTTAACTCCCCTAGAATTACTCTCAGCTGGCATCAGCATAACAGAAACAGAACCACAATACATTAAAAGAGATTAATAAAAATGCACAACAAATGCATTAACTGTTCAAAAAACCCTGATGTGCGGAAGTGGCATAATTGGTATAAATCAAAAGGTCTCGCTTGCAGGTCAGAAGTTTGGTTTTAGTAGATATATATGTATGTGCTACATGCTTGAAGACTGAGGGGATGGCCAGAGGGAGGTATCTAAATCCAGCATTTCAGGCATCTAATTCAAAGACTTGGATTGTCAAACCTCACATTAGGAAGCCTTTAACTCTGTCTTACCTTTCCCTCAGTCACTCCTGATAGCAAAGATAAAGGAGTTTGCTCCATTTATACAGAAATATTAATGAAAAGGAAGGATTCACACTTTAATAAAAACATACTATTGTGTTAACTCAAGTGGATTTTGACTGATGGAAATCACTCAGCTCAGATGTTTGAAAACTATGCTTGGTATAATCAACTGTGATGGGGGAAGGAGGTTGTGTTCATTTAAAACTTTGATTTGGGAAATGCTTTAAACTCATCTGTCCCCTGGGCTTGTGGCCACGCTATTGCGTCTGTGCATCAAGAGTCCCACACAGGCTGACAGTCATTCACTCAAGTTCGTGGCCAATTCAGAGGGCTTCCAGGAGGATTTCACTGCTCAAGTTTCATACTCGATTCACTATATTTGGGAACTACCGTGACTGAAAGGCC